GTGCTCTGTACTTAAGTAGGAAAGATGCAACGACAGCGGGAGAGCTGAGTGAGGCGAGGAGGCTGGAGCCGGTCGTGCGTTGTGTGAAAAAGATAAAATAAAGACTGAATACTGAAACTCTCCGCTGCATCCTCGTTATTCTGGGACCCCCCCCACAGACCCACACGTTACAGTGGCACCCAACGTGGCTGGGGGGTGGACATGGCAGATGACGACCACCAGCAGGGAATGCCGGCCGAGTCGATTGTGGCGCGGCCCGCGGCCACGCCACTGACGCAGGGGCCCGTGGCGGTCGCCGGCCTCACGCTCCACCTTTGAGGCGACGGCGGAGGCACAGCTGGAGCAGTTGCAGTTATTGGCTGCACCGCGGGGAGGGCTGTCGCCAGTGGAGCTTCCCGTACCGGCTCCACGGCGGGCGCCCTTCACCCCAGCTCACAAGGCAATGGTGGATTCGGGGTGTGGACTAGTGTAGACTAGCCTGAACACGTATATTATGAAGGACGCACAAACAACTTATTGTACACCACCGACACATTGGATACTACGTAACACAGCTGTGAGACAAATAATTCAACAATATTTATATTCTATAATATCATGAGTGTAAAATGAATTATGCAACGTGCATAATTAAATTAAATTAAATGCATTTGGGCTGTCTAAAACTTCCTTAACGCCTGTCTTTTATTTTGAAGGCAAAGCTCCGTCATTTCCTGTATTTTGCTGCTCTCTCTGTCTAACTTCTCTGTTCAGTTCACCTTCGTCAGCAATTCTCACGTCATTCATCCTCATTGACATTCACTGCGCGCCAGCTGGAGAGCGGTAGCCCGAATGGAGATACAGAAACACAGTCGACACAACTACGTTTCAGGGCAGAAACTTGACTTGGAACAGACTTGGAAGTCGTTTTTTCTAGAAATATTATTAGTAATGTATATTGCAAACATCATCATCACCTTTGTGGTTAGTTTACACAAGCTTTATAGATAACAGCACACGTTAGTTATAATGTAAGCATTCATTCATATCTCATGTAAATTCTATGACGAGAATTCAAATATTTTCTCCCAGGATGCTTTGTGCTTTCGTGCTCATGCAACATCTCTGAAAAGCTTCTCCACCACAAGAGGTCACCTATCGACCACTCTAACCCTTTTCTGCACACCATTCTTCTGCAAATCCTTCTGGTTTGGTGCTCCATATAGGGCTTGTTCATGGAATGTCACAATAAGGTCACATATGAATAACAATAAGAAGAATGCCTGTATAACAACAGTAATCAGTATCAATATCACAACACAGACACCTGAAAGTAGTGCCTGTGTTTTTGCTCCAATATGGAAACTATAACAGAATACATTGAACTAATGTTTGAAGCAGTAAATTTAGCAAAAGTATTTTCTGGAACATATAACTATCTGATTGATAGTTGGATGGTGTTATGAATACTGACCATGTCTAAAGCTACATAATCATTGCTCTAATTGAATTACATATTTGTCCAAAATATCTATTTGTCCCACTATAATCAGTCAGTAACCGTGTTCTAACTACTTTACTACAGACTTTACTTGTACATGAATCTATCTGTTTTTTGTGTTTGAGCCATTAGGTTAAAAACAATTTGATGTAAGTGTTAAAGTGTGAAATGCTTGTTTCCACAAGAGTGACTATATCGTGATCTGTGGACTCCTGATAAGGATCTTGAAGTCACACTTGGGGACGCACAGCACATGACTTTTGCATTTCTGATTCATTGCCGCTCGTTAATAGGGGAGCACAGACGCTGAGAGGGTTGGTTCTTACATTTACCCACATTGGAGGACGTCGTTGCCATAAAGATCCGGACCAAGAAATAAGGAGCCCAGAGGTGCAGCCACTGACTATACCTGATAAGACAAGGCGTCACTGAGATATCAGCATGGCAGGTGATTACATTTTGACTGCTGTGTTGCATGATGTAGCCCATATGTAGATCATTGTAATCTTGTTGTTGAGGAAATATTTGTATCATTTGTAGTACTGGCATCTTAATACACTGCAGTCAGTTGTACATGCATTTTCCACTTAAACGCAAACATTGTATGAACTGTATGAAAAAAAAGGTAAACAAAAAGGTATTCAACACTGAAGTAACTTAAATTCAAAACTAGGTCTAAAATAATTGTATACATGGAACACATTTTTGATGTCGGAAGGTATGCAAGGTGCCTTATCATGTAGTGTTTAAATCGTTTTGTCTACCTTTTCTATATCCAGTTTGCAAATGACCTAGGAAGACCAAGAGGGGGCATGATATCTTTCATAATAATTTACAAGGATTCACCCAAATTATATTTCTCTCTCAAATTAGTGTTAATCTGTGGATTAAGTTTTAGGTTTCTGCATATAGATTTGGTCCATTTTATTTTATTCATTATGTTTTGTTTCTGTTTTATTATATCTAATTCTGATATTTCTGCCTTCACACTAACGCGGGGGAGTGGAATTTTGTCGATGCTAATTACGTCATTAAGAAATTTACAGTAGCCAAGTTCAGTGAACAACCACTGTTAGCTGCCCTCAGTGGACATTCTGTGTACCTCTAATAAAATAGAATAAAAGATAGTAACAAATAGGCTCTTTGAAAATTGTTGAGATGATTTTGTGAACATTGGTGAATGATATGTTTAAAAGCTGTGAACACAAAGCAACTCCATCCTTTACCACCACTAACAACAAAACTGTTTAACTACAACCTGTTGATTTAATGGAGGATGTATAATCCATCCTAATGTGAAAGGATCCAATCTCAAACATGATTTTTGTGTTTTTTTAATCTTTGTCTGCAGATTATGCAAGAGATTTACCCTTAGATAATTATTCAGACTATTATGATAGTCTGAACATCACCATAATCAACATAATAAAATTGAATACAATTCTACAAATTCCATCCTTTACCTCCATTAACAGCGAGTGTTTAACTACAACCTCTCGATTTAATGGAGGCTGGATTGAGTCCATCCTAATGTGAAAGGACTCAATCTAAAAAAAGTTAAGATAACGTGTTGTGTTCTTTTATCTTTGTCTGCAGATTATGCAGAAAATTTCAGCCAAGAGTATAATTATTCAGACTATTATGATAAAGACAACACCAACAATAACAGTCCTTGCAGCACCACCGCTCTGAGGGATTTTGGCAAGGTCTTTCTGCCCACCTTCTACAGTCTGGTTTTCGTCCTTGGCGTCATAGGTATGAGTGTGTTTGTAAGCGACACCCTTTCTTTACATACACTAAATAATACTCTGGAATACTAAACCATGTGCTCCGCCCCCTCTCAAGGCAATGGTTTAGTGGTGTGCGTCCTGGTGAAGCACCGCCACAAGACCAACTTGACAGACATGTGCCTCTTCAACCTGGCTGTCTCCGACCTCGTCTTTGTCTTCACGTTGCCTTTCTACTCTCACTACTCCGTGGTGGGTGAATGGCCTTTTGGAGACTTCCTCTGCCGCTTCGCCTCTGGCTCACACACCACTGGGTTTTTAAGCAGCATCTTCTTTATGGTTGTCATGACGCTGGACCGCTACATGGTCATCATGCACGCTCACAAGGTGGCACAATATCGCACGTTTAGGGCAGGCATCGCTCTGACCGCCTTTGTTTGGACGATGAGTTTGTGCTTCTCCCTGCCGGCCGTCTTCTTTACGAAGGTGACGAACGAGTCCACCGGAGTTGCCTGCAGCTACGAACCAGAAAACGATGCCTGGAGGCTCCATGACATCCTCATGAAGAATGTATTGGGCCTTGGGATTCCACTGTTGGTGATGATAGTTTGCTACTCCAGGATCATCCCCATACTGCTGAACATGAGGAGTACCAAGAAGCACCGCGTTGTCAAGCTGATCATCTCCATAGTGATCGCCTTTTTCATGTTCTGGGCCCCATATAACATTTCCATTCTCTTGGAGTTTCTGAACTTGTCGACCAATTGCAACTCACACCAAAGTCTTAAGCTGTCGATAATAGTGACCGAGACCATTGCTTACTCTCACTGCTGCCTGAATCCCATCATCTACGCCTTTGTGGGACAGAAGTTTATGAGACGAGTATTGCAGATGTTGAAGAAATGTGGGTCTGGGTTTCTCCCCTCTACAAGAGAAAATAGCTCACACAGGAAAAGCTCAGTTAGGTCCAGGTCCTCTGATGCCACCACCAATTTCATCATGTAGGAGGTGGATGGTAGATTATTTTTTATGGACATGGCTTACAGGGTTGATACATTTTGCTCTGCTTAGTGTTGTTATTACTGGGTACAATATTGGCATTGTTCCTGCTGTAAGATCTGTTTGGGCTCTTCCATTATCCACCATCACAGTTTTTAGTCATCAGCATTGTCTAAGCTGAAAACGCTGCATGTATGTGTGTATGTCATCTTTATCTTTTTTTTTCTTCTATCTTTAGACCGTTGGATTTTTACTTTCATTGCGTTGTGTGTATCATAACTTGGTAGATGTGTAGTGCCATCAAGTGTGATCCAATGAGTTTCAAAATATCTTCATGTTGTCAGGTCTGTTACGATTTGGGTTAATGTCTGGTTTTATTTTGTAGTTTCTTGCCTCTGTTCTCCCTGGGTCATGTCACTTCCTGCCTTGTCCTGTCCTCCTCTGTGATTGTCTGTCATGTCCTGATGTTTCCACCTGTGTCCAATCACCTGCACCTCCCTAGTGTATTCAAGCCATGTGTGTCTGTTGTCACTTGTCGCGTCATTCTTTTGTCACGCCTGCCTCTCGTTCCTGCCTGCCCTTTTGCCCTTAGTTCCTGTGTGTTTTTGCCCGTTTTGACTATTAAAGTCCTTTTTTGTTTTCGAACTCTGCGTTTGAGTCCTGCCTCCCAAGCACCCCTTGACAAGGTCATTTCTTTTAAAAGGTTTTTAATGCCCCTCTTTTTCCTGCTTAACAGTTGACTGTAAACCATGAACCTTTTGTTTACTGCAGCCTGTAACCACAAACCCTGTAAAACATTCACACGCCACTGTGCCTCTATTGAAGAGGAACATTCATGCCAACTGGAATCGAACAATATTTTCTTTGTTTTTTACACTATCCTTGTTGTATATTCATTTCACTCAATAGAACAGGGTTGTGTAACACCTTTTGCACGTTATTTGTTGTTTATGTGGAACAAAGTTTGGCTCATTGTACACACGCCTGTAAATTTTTATATATTTTCTCAATTTTGTTTCATGCCTCACATTTTTACCATTTATTAAATTGTTTTAATTATTTTTTTCATTATTCCAGGAACATCTGTGTCCCAGTGATATTACTTTAATGTCAGTGTTATTTCAGCTTCATGCTTTTTAATCTTTTCTCGTTTGTTTTATTTAATTGGTATAGTAGTTTAGAGTTCCATCTCTAAAGAGTACCCAGTTATGATGTTGAATTGTGATTTTTTTCTCGCACGCAACAAATCTAAAGCACAACACAACATTTTTTCAGTGCCATAATGACTTGAGTGTTCAACGCACGTTGTGTCTTCTATAAGAAAGTACTTCCACCATCTTCATTGTTTGTGTAGTAAATAGTAGTAACTTTCTCTTAGTACAGATAAAATGAGACATCTATGGGACAGAATAGTCTTTGTTCATTTAATGTTTAACTGACTATGTTTAAAAGGGAATTTGAGATGGTCACAATTTAAACACTCTCTGACCAATAACTACTTTAACAAAGGCAGCGTGTTGCTAAAGGACAAGGCAATTTTATTTGTATAGCACATTTCAACAACAAGGCAATTCAAAGTGCTTCACATAAAACATTAAAAACATCCAAACATAACATAAAGGATATTTAAAATAATCAGTTAAGTACATTGATACATTGAAACATACGAAAAACACAAAATAGTCACTAAAATGATAAAGACTTAATAATGTTTTTAAGAATTCTGACTTGCAGAAATGGTCAATGGAAGGCAGCAACAAACAGAAAAGTCTTTCATTTGGATTTAAAGAAGCTGAGGAACCCAGCAGACCAGCAGCTTCTTCCAGCAGAAAAACTGAACGCTGCTTCTCCATGTTTAGTTCTGACTCTGGGAACAGAAAACAGACCTGTCCCAGACGACCTGAGGGTTCCTGGCGGTTCATAAAGTATCGGCAGATCAGAAATGTACTTTATAAACTAGCAGCAGGATTTTGAAGTCACTTCTTTGTTTGACAGGAAGCCAGTGTAACCTAAGAACTGGAGTGATGTGATCCACTTTCCTGGTCCTGTGAGGACTCGAGCTGCAGTGTTCTGGATCGGCTGTAGATTTCTAATTGACTTTTTACAGAGACATGTAAAAACACTGTTACAGTGGTCAAGTCTACTGAAGATAAATGCCTGGACAAGTTTTTCCAAAGCATACTGTTCATTATAAAGTGAGCATAATAAAAAATATAGTTAAACTGAGTCATTTATATAGTGAAATGTCTATCCTGATGAGCTGGAAGCCTTTCACAAACCTTTATATCACCTGTGATGTGTTTTTACAAGAAATAGACAAAGCTCCTGACTAGAATACATGTTACTCTTTCATGCTGCATGTTAACACAGAGGGAAGAGTTCTCAGAAAAGCACGCTGACACCTTTGTGCAGAGGAAGCAGCAAAACCAAGAGTTCATCGTAGCAGAAATGAGCTGTGCAACAGGATTTGACTGAAAAAAGTTAGCTCTGCAAGTTGACAGGATGACACGTAAGTTTGATGCTTGGCAAAGCAGCAAACATACTCGGGAGCAGTGACTGTGGCAGACAATGTGGTGAGCACAAGAACATTTACACTTTTACACATTTAGCTGCTTTTTACCAGACTTCCTTCACCTCTCTCACCTCCATTAACACTGTGTGTAGTAGATGATTATGTGTGCAGGGGTCTGTGTGTGTGCGTTGGTAAACAGACAGGAAGTGAGGGTCGGCAGGGTTGTCAAAGCAAGTGGTTCCGTTTGTGTCGATGAGGAGATGTGGTTGAGAGATGACATGAATGTGATTATGGTCTGCGAAAGAGAAGTGTGTGGTATTCACAGACAAATCTAAACATTAGATGCTTTATCAAAATGTTGCTTGTACCTCTGACAGGAATTCAGAAGGAGGACGCCAAGTCAATAATGTTTATGTTGTTTAAAATCCAAAACAATCTCTATGACTTCAGTTTTCGTTTTGAATATCAGGGTTTCAACCTAAAAGGGCAGGAAAGTCCAGGTACATCTCTGAAATTCCTTACATTCTTTTTTTTACTGTTTCGCAAGAACAATATCTATAGTGAGGCACATACACAGTTTAGTCATCATGAAGGAAACATGTTACTTTTGTTTCTTGAAAATCTGTGAGTTGAGGCAAAACTTCATAGGAAACAAAGTGAAGTAAATGGAATCAGGAGTAAATCAATCTCATTGTGGAAATTGTAAGTGAAACTCTTTTCTCTGATTTAATACCTTTTCTTTCATAACATGTTCACTCAACTTAATGTCTCATGTTCTTTTCCTCCTCACACAGCATCATGAACAAATCAGAGAACGAGTCCTATCTGGATTATGATTACAATGACACCTGCGATGAGGTTCAAGGTCCAGAATTGTCTGACGGATCCACGGCCTTTCTGGTTCTTTACTACCTGCTGTTTTTCTTCAGTCTGCTGGGTATGTTGAAAAAGAGAATGTAACAGAGAAGAGAATCACCCTCTTTCCATATTTAAATGCACATTTTTATTTGAGGTGTTCAGGAGATTTCAAAGAATCACAATTGTATTCTTTTTTTATAAGAACCTATGGCCTCTTTGTCAGATGTGACTAATGGCTACTCGCCTGCTCAAAGCATTGCGCGTATCGTCCAGTCAGTGGCTTATTTGGAAAAATACCAAAATAGAGGCAACCCGCTCCTGGTAACAACTAAAGATTTAAATAATTTCACAGGCAACATCACGGTACTCTGGGTTCTGCTCCGGTACATAAAGCTGAGGACTATGACGGACGTATGCCTCCTCAACTTGGCCGTGTCTGACCTCATGCAGGCCACGACCCTGCCCCTCTGGACCTGCAATGACACAAACCTTGCGTCATGCAAATTGATGACTGGAGGCTACCAGGTGGGGCTTCATCCATTTTTTTTAAAAGATACATTTATCTGCATTTCTATACGATGATAAATCAATCGTAATTTAAAACTGGACCAACTCAAAGAGGTGCAATATTAATTGTATTATTAATTTATTAGGACTTTTTTAATAATAGGGGAGATTTTCTGTCAGTACGGGGGTCTATGTTGTTTTATAGGTTCACAAGCAGCTTTCCTTATGCTGTGTGTGAAACCACAACTGCGTGATGTGTCTCTCAGCCAAATGAGAAAAACGTCATTGATGCTATCAGAGCCTGTTTCTGATTCCACTCTCCCCTCTGCTCCTCTGAACAGTTGGGTTTCTACAGTGGGACTTTGTTTGTGACCCTAATGAGTGTGGACCGCTACCTGGCCATCGTCCACGCTGTTGCAGCCATGCGAGCCCGGACACTTCGCTATGGAATCATAGCCAGCACCGCAATCTGGGTAATTTCTGTCACTATGGCACTACCTGGGGTGACATTTGCTTCTTTAGAAATAGACGTAAATGACAACAGCTCCCAGTGCCAGCCCCTGTACCCTGACGACAGCCACCGCTTTTGGAAGTTACTGCGGAACTTCAGCGAGAACACAGTGGGCCTATTTCTTTGCCTCCCAATAATGATTTTCTGCTACGTGAAAATCCTCATCGTGCTGTCCAAGTCCAGGAACGCCAAAAAGGACAAAGCTGTGAAGCTGATATTCACCGTAGTGGGTGTGTTTGTGGTGTGCTGGGTCCCCTACAATGTCACAGTTTTCCTACAGACTCTGCAGCTGTTCCTAGAGAACCTGGACACCTGTGAGGCTTCAAAAAGCATCAACTCTGCCATGCACTTTGCTGAGATTATTGCACTGTCTCACTGCTGTGTAAACCCAGTCATATATGCATTTATTGGGGAGAAGTTTAGGAAATCACTGGGAAATGTGCTGACGAGGTACTGCTGGAGTCACCAGAGCAGAAGGGCTTTCAGCCACAGAGAGACCACAGAGAAAGAGACTTCCAACACACCTGTAAAGTCAGATTATCAAGAGTGATGAACTCACACTTCTAGAAAGACGTCGCATTCGATGTCAGAGCTGTAAAATAGCACTCAGAAGATTCCTGGTAAGAACAAGGGGATCTTTTAAGAATATGTGTAAACCAAAACTGAGTTTTTTTTAAATAAAGAAAATTAAAAATGGTTGCTTCTTTCTTTTTGTAGCTAAACTCTATTGATCTGTGAGTTTAACAGTTCTTCTGCGTGTGTGTGTGTCTGTGTGTGTGTGTGTGTGTGTGTCTGTGTGTGTGTGTGTGTGTGTCTGTGTGTGTGTGTGAATGTAGGACTTTTAGACACACCGTTGCATCGTTGCATCACGATGGATCCATTTCAGGCCGTAATTCTTGTCAGCTTGTATTTGACGAGAAGTGTGTAGAGTGTAATTGTGGTGTCACAGAACACACCTCACTATCAAGCCAGTGTTTAGTCATTTGGGCCAACAATTCACTACTGACTGAATCCAAAAAAGGGACAAACCATTTTAAGATCTATAATATGTGATAGTTAGGTCTCAATTTGAGCTTTGAATAGTCGCCCCTAACAGAAAAAGTAATATACCGTACTTGTTTTCAAACAACAGTTAGTCTAGACTGCATCGATGGCTGTATTTGTAGTAACACTTCCACCACGCATAACAGAACAAAGATGTGGAGCTTTTCAAGCCTCCATCTGCTTGTGGATGCAGGTCCAGGTCGGGTTGCATTGCATCTTTTTAAGCTTGCACATGTGGACTTGTGGTTATCCTCATCCGCAGACACTGTGGGCTTTTACACAAACTTTTCAAAGCATTTGCAGGAAGTTATGAACCATATGCATCTAAGCCTGCAAGCCCACCTAAATAGTTGATAGGGGGATGGTAGTGTTTTTATTCGAAAGCCATTTGCACACCACAACCAGAGGAGGTGTCTCTCATTTGAACATTATGTAATGAGCTTGGATGATTAGCTGATCTTTTCTTTGATATGGCATCTTGTGATCCAAAATAAACACCATCATCAGCTGTCTCCTTAAGAACATCTGCAGGTAATTCATTTTTCATTTTCTAAATGTACATGCGTAAACCACATCTGTGAAATTCGTATTGGATGATAAACTCATCAAGTTTCAAGGTCAATAGTTAGTCCACTGGAAAATACATTTGTGTTTAATTGTCACTTTCTCTAACACTTTGCTTGCACCCATCTTTTAAAAATATCAGCTGTAAATGATTGTATCTCTTTTATATGTTCTCACAATTAAAGAGACAGATTGGAAAAAGTCAAACTGCATTAACAGTTGACATGTTCGTTGTAAAATCAACCTATTGCTCTTTTCTGCTGCGGCTACTATGCTCGAAGTAGGAATTTTCAGACACCATTCAAACCCAATCATAAACTGCAGAATTACGTGTGTTCTAAATGAGCTGAAAGATTTGTGTTGGCCAAACAAAAAGTCTTTAATATAATACTAATAATAATAAAAAAAACTGAATTTTTCTCACTTCTTTTCAAACAGTACTTCTGTACAAGAGGCTGACTCAAATCCAACAATTCATTCAGCTGAATTACATAAAACTGTAAATAGTCATCCTGTTTTCCTTTTTCCTCCTGAAAAAGGTTACCATGGCCACAACCGTGTCTGCTATTGTTTCTTCCAGTGGAGTAAGTGAGAGTCCAACCATAGAAGACTTAACAAGGTAAGATTAAACCTCTGTAGCCACATATGATACCAGGTTTTGTTCTCTTTGTTCTGAAACACGTTGTCAGCATGTGCCTGGCTAGCTTCCACCGTTGCACTCTACTACTACAACTACACAACTTAGTAAATGAATTGTATCTAGTATTACTGAACATTTCCTAAATGTGTTCTTCTGAATTGTTGCTTTTCTTGACAGTGTTTGTTAGTGTAAATATTCTTTGTTATACTCCTCACAGTGTTATGTAGAATACGCATATTTCCATCTATATTCAGAAAGATTATTGCAGATCCAATACACTGAGCTGAAATAAAGAGAACGTACTAATCATTTTTTTTTTCCTTACTGGCTTTCTTTCTCTGTTCTTCAACAGGTCAACTACACTATCCTACACCGATACCGTCAGCGTAACCTCCCCAGAATACGACTACCCGGAGGAGGGCTTTGACTCGTGTGCGTATGGGCGCCATGGAGCCAACTTTCTTCCAACCCTTTACGCCATTTTCTTTCTCCTGGGCTTTCTGGGTAACTCTCTGGTCATCTGGGTCATTACTTGTGGCGTGCGACTCCGCAGTATGACCGACGTGTGCCTCTTAAACTTGGCTGGTGCTGACCTTCTCCTGGTGTGTACGCTACCCTTCCTGGCCCACCAAGCCTGGGACCAGTGGGTTTTTGGGGATGCTATGTGCAAAGTGGTCCTGGGTATATATCACATTGTCTTTTACTGTGGGATCTTTTTCATCAGCCTAATGAGCATCGACCGCTACTTGGCTATTGTGCACGCCGTTTACGCCATTAGAGCAAGGACAAGGTCCTTTGGAATGATCGCTGCTGCCGTTACTTGGGTGGCAGGATTTTTGGCATCCTTCCCTGACCTGATCTATCTCAAACAGCAGCCTGGTCCCAATATGTCTCAGTCCTGCTTCCCAGTGTATCCAGAAGATGTCGGTCACTCTTGGATGATCTTCAGTGTTTTTAAAAGGAACGTTTTGTGTCTATTTGTCCCGGTTGTTATCATTAGTTTCTGCTACTCACAGATTGTGTGGAGGCTTCTGCACAGCCAATCATCAAAGAAACGAGCCATCCGTTTAGTTCTTACAGTGGTAGCGGTTTTCTTTTGCTGCTGGGTCCCGTACAACGTTGCGTCTTTCTTCAACGCGCTGGAGCTATTGCACATCTACACGGAATGCGAAAGCAGCAAAGCCATCAGATTGGCTTTGCAAGTCACTGAGGTAATTGGCTACTCACACAGCTGCCTCAACCCCATCCTGTATGTGTTTATCGGGCAGAAGTTCAGGAGGCACCTGTTGAGGTTGATAAACAGGATTCCCTGCAGGCTGTGTCAGTTGGTCAAGGTCTGAATGCACCACGACGAAAACAGCACGTCAATGTACTCACAGAGCATGAGCCTGGACGAGAGGAGTGCTGCTGTCTGACGTTTTCCTCTTATTACCCTGTTAACGGCAGAGACACAAGCGTGGTCTTATGGTATCGTGATGTTATGATAGTGGCTTTACATGAAAGCAGACATATGATATTTTCCTGCACATCTATATAGCTTTACATATTTGTTAATAACATAAGCTAAAAATTGTATGTATTAAGGAATTGTAAAATTAGTTTTGGATATGCATGGTAAACACGCAGCTGGCTGAAGCTCAGTAAGAAAGAGCAGAAACTGTGTTGACTAAAACAACTTTCAACAGCTTCAGAAGCCAGAGCAACCTCATTCAGTCATCAGCCGCGGAAATACCCCCCCCCCCCCAGCAAGGCAAAAAACTTTTGATAACAAATAAGTGAGTTGGATCAAATATGACATCACCTTTCTCAGAAGTGAATATGTTTTCAAAACCAAAGTGTGCAGAGTAAAAGATCCCCAGTGCAGCTGGAAAGGTTAATGTGGAAAGTTTCATAGCATATGTAACTGCAGATTTGCACATTTGAACTCAACCTAGAGAAACCGAAACCTGCCGACAGGAAGAAGTACACAACCACGCTGTTGTTTTAACCTTTGCAGGCTCTGTGCAAAAAAGTTAAAGTTATATAAATATAAAATATATGTAATATTTCTGCTGATATTCAGCTTACAAAACCAGGCCATTTTTTAGATCAATATCTTCTATATGCTGTTAGGCAGAGTGACTTAGCATCCTATTCAATTGATTCACAGTTAATTAAAGAAGTAGTAGGCTCTCTAACCCCATCAAATCCATAGAGATGGGATTAGAAGGTTACTGAACACGCAGAGGGTCAAAGTTTCTTTCTTCCTCAGAGTTTTTGCAGAGAAGCATCACATTGTGAGCATCTGTTGTCTTTGAATTTATCAAAGCAACAGTGCTGGTGTATGCAGACCGAGTGAACAAACACAGTAGGATATTGAATAAATTCAGTATTGTTGAAGTTGAGTTCAATATGTATGAAATTCGTTTTAATAAAATTGTTCTCTTGAAATACCACACATATTTGTTAGTTATTTCTCTTTCTTGTAAACTGACATTTTGATAATTTTGCTTTTACTGATGATATTTTATTTTCAGCATTATTTGACCTTTTTAAGGCACTGATTGTAATGCGACGTCCCGTGGAGTCTAAGCTCATTGCAGAAGATGTGCTTCTCATGATTAGAAATCAAACAATTGACTGTCGATGGAAAACTCCCAGGAATAAATAAAAAAAACAAATGTATAGACAACTATCAGCAGCATTTATTGACAGACAACAAGGTACTACCTATCAGCAAACTATGCAGATGCTACAGTCCCTCACACACACACACACACTCACACACACAGGAATTACTGTCTGCAACCGCAGGCAAACAACACGTCGTTGCTCAGCTTAGTTGGCGTGCTTCTCCCCCCCTAACCTCATGGGCCCAGTTGTCCTCATGTGGTTGAAAGCAGCATGAGGGCCGACGCTTGTCAGCACGGTAACCCCACCCGGCTGGCACCAGCGTAGTGTTCAACGTGCATATTTCCATGTTGAGCTATGCCCTCTGGCATTTATTACCTCAGTTACTCTTATTGTAATATAACTTTATAAAGGAAGAGTCCACAGAGGACCTGTTTCAGATCAAAGGAGAAACATCAGGAGAGAGCAGTGAATATTGGCTATAACATCTCTATGATCTGTTCTAAAGAAAGATGATTATCCATCCATCCATTTTCAATAACACTTATCCTTTGTACGAGGTCGCACGGGAAGCTGGAGTCAACCCCAGCCAATTTAGAGTCCCCAATTGACCTAATCCGCAGAGCACGTCTTTGGACTGAGAGAACCCATGCAGACACGGGGAGAACATTCAGACTCTGCACCACCCTGGGTGGAGTAGAAACCAGGACCTTCTTGCTGTGAGGCAACAGTGCTAACCACCACGCCACCGTGCTGCACCTGCGGTGCTTAATGTGAAAAACGTTATTCTACACTTCTGAAAGTCTCCTTAATGAAAGTATAGGAGGGGTTTAAGGCTATAAAGGCAATATATTTAAGCTAAGATTCAAAAGAAATGTGATCCTGGCCATGAGACGCTGACCTCACTACTATTACATCTTCACTGGTGATACTTTATTCCACCATGTTACTTAATGTTTATTAAACCCATCAAGTCACTTCTTTAGTGCCATCTAGTGTTCTTGCAAAAAACGATTTCATAGTTGGCTATACTGTACTGTGCAAGCAACAATTACGTTATTTTACCTGCAGAGAGACTCTTAATTTAATATTTTGGAGTAGTCATTTTCACTCATTTACATTGCTCAGATGACGTGATATCTAGGTAATTTAAAGTTTATTAAGGTTTCACTTATTAAAACCATAAAGTGGGCAAATGTATGAACTGCAACATAGTATACGCTATGAAAGGATGCAGCACCTTCACACCTAGCAGCTAGAGAGATTGCGACAAACATCTCCTCTGTGGTTTCATGCAAAGTATTGGCTGCCTGCTGCTAAGAAAAACAAGACAAACTGCATTGACAATAGGGTGTTCTTTCACACATCCGTGTACAAACACTGTTTTCTGCACAATCACTCGCAGTGACGGGCACTCTAGGTTAGTAACGGCTTAGTGTAAACAACAAAGCTCCAGTTTTGTACATGTAGATAATTCATTGAATTTTCAAGACTACAATTGTTCAAAAGAATGCTTCCAAATTACACTTTTTTCTGTAGTTTCTTCAAAGAACGTATACATGAGGCAGAAAATACAATTGTCACTCTGTAAACTCTTTTAAGTAAATACAAATTGTGACACCAGTGTAGAGCTAATTAGTGAGAACTCTGTTTTTTTATCTATAGTATCTAACCTAAGACGTGGGTTGAGAAGGATGGGGGATTGTATGGTCTGCTGATTCATGCAGCATCTGCAGATGACAGATAAGATCAGCATTGCCACCGCTTCAGTTTATGTTTATGAGGTATTGCAGATGCTTCATAAAAAAAAAAACAGCTTGCCAAAACGCGTTGCACATGTCCTTGTTTTATCATCTTGCCTTTTATAGTTGGAAACATGGGATTTCCCCTAATCGATCTAAATATCAAATGCCTCATACTACACACGGGGAGCAGATGCATACTTTTTTTCACTGTTTAACATTTGAAATGGAACAATCCATCAGTGTACAACAAGCCTCTCACAGTACGGGAGATGTTTATTATTGCAGTTGTTGACTGGTTTAGGGCTTCCCCCTTCCTTCTTTGCCGTAAGTACAGCATTGCCTCGCCTTTCCACCCTCAAAGCTTATGGGAAATTGTGAATAAATAATACTAGTTTCAAGACCCATTTCATGTGAGTATACTGTATGTGCACATAACGTTTCAGAAACACAAGTTCTTCCTTGTATGTTTAATGGCAAAATAACAGGACAAAATGAAATATTTACAGCACATAGTAACATGTAAAACACAATCTTCTGTACAAAGAAATATACATGCAAAAATAAAAATAAGTCATGAGAAGACATTCAAAATGACATTGCTGCAGTCTTGTTCTGTTTGTATTTAAAATATGACATAGTTATGAGGTTTACATCCTGGGTGTGGGCAAACTGCCGGACCCTCTCTGTACATCTTTACATCATGTATAGGCTGGGTTTCCCAAAGGCATTGTATTACTTAGGTCAGAATCCTCCATGAATAGGCTTTGAGATTAGTTTGATAAACTGATTAACAGCATGATTTTGGGAAACCTAGATCCACACTAATAAATAACAATGACACAAAATGAGAGACTTGGACTGTACAGACAGACTTCTTTAACACCAAATCAGACAGTAACTCTTACAACCTTCAAAAGAAATAAGAAACAATGCACATTTTATTTCCACCCACCACGCTAGGTTGACTCCCTCAACTGGCACTTAAAAAAAAAAGGTTCTCAATATCTTCATAACCTCATGACATCAACCTATTCAAATGGCAAAACAAAAGAGAATACTTGTCAAATACGGCTAGTGCTGAATGATTTTCATTTAAGGGCTACATTTGAACTTTTGGTGGAACAAGATTTGTGTGTCTCCAAAAAGGTTTCACGCATTCTCCGATCATTTTAAATCCGTGGTGAGGCGGCACAATGAGATTTATTTTTCAAGCCTTTCGCTTGGGAAAAACTTTAATGTCAATCGTTCTTTGATGTACAAACTGAGATGCTTGAAAATCAGGCGACATACACCAGAACCTATCTACGAAAGCCAAAACAAACGCACACAGCACCACCACTTTGTGCACAGCTTGAAGAAAGACGGGCGAAACATTAGTTTTTTTTAGAAACCACCAAACAATTTCTTAATACAATAAGAATAAATAAAGCGAGACTGAACCAATGCAAACACTCACATGTCCTGATTCAGTACGGTCCGTTATAACTTAACATGACAAATCATTAAAAACACATTTTAGCAGGAAAAGAAAGCGTCGCCAACTTTGGTATTGTTACAGAAAATAAAAACAATGACATTGACTAAATGAAAGCATAAGTGCCTATATTTTATAGATACGCATTTTTATACATTATTTCCAAAAAACCCACTTCTTGTCTGGGGTTTTGAAGATATTAATACTGAACTTAATACATAAGAGTTAACACAATACAGACGTCTATCGCAGTAACATGTACGTACATGCCTTCTTAAGAATACGGCTACAACACAAAGTCTTCATAAATAGTTGCATAAATGTTAAAGCTGCAACATTGCACATGGGAATTGATGCAAAACACGAGTGCATTTTTAGTAGCGGTTTGTTCTTAGTGAAACTCCAACTGCAGAGGGCTCGCAGTGACCTACTTTGCCAACTGCATGGTCTCAGTAATACTCAGCAAATGATAAAGATTTTATTAATTTGAAACAAATTCTTCAAAATGATAACAAAAGGCAGGAACACATTATTTACAAATAAGGCGGATGCAGGTAAAAATTGGAGAAACTCTCTGAACAGCTTTAATGTCTAATTTAACTTAATTTAGTTTCTCTTAATGAAACTGAAATTATTTCACCTTTCAAACTAATGGGCGCATAAAGATAAGCTAACTATTTCACTGAATGTAAATATATTTTGTTTCTGGAAAACATGGTTTTGGTCTTCATATTGTTCTAGAATAAGTACACCCTGCTGATGGGTGCCACTTTGTACACATATCTAATTCATCCGGTTTTCTTTCCGTTGACTAACTAACCTTTGTTAACCAAAAGGTTTGAATAAAGACAGTTCTCTGTATTCCTCAATGTACATTGTTCCATTTAAAAAAAGTAATCTCTCGTTAGAAAAGAAACAATGTTCTTGTTTTCAAACCAAAAGCAGCCTGAATTACTGTCATTATACAGTATTCTCCATTTCTCTGTTCAACACTGTCCAAAACGCAAGACTTTTTTTTTTGTCTTCCCGTAAAGGTTTGAAATCTCAAACCGATTCCAACAGTTCATTTGTTGTCCAGGCATAGCGACAATATGCCAAGGTGAAGGAGGAGAGTTGGGGGGAGTCAAAGGGTTTATCAGCAGAGATCCAACAGTCAGCAGCAGCAGGACTTTTGTGGCTTAGTGAAGGAAAAGGTGATTGTTGTGGAAATGTTGCTGGTAACACAGCTCGACTGCACAAACTCGTTACCCACCCTCTTAATTTTGTTGGACAGGGACGACTTACTTCTACACCCGAGCACTACGGTACATGTTGTTACTGTCATGTCAAGCTGAGGGTACGTTTGTTAGATGTGGTTAAGCAGACGGCTGTGAAGGAAGGCCTTAATGCTGCCGATGGGCCGAACATCGTTCTGGTGTTTCCTTCTCTCGATGAAGGAAATGAGCCTGGAGGTGTCCAGATGTGAGGTGTGGTGATTCTGAGATGGTGGCTGCATATGGTTTAAGGGGCCGTGGCCAGTGTCGCTGTGTATCACACCTCGAGGCAAGAGCCAGGGCTCCCGCAGGCAGGAAGCTGCTGAGGGCCGTCGCTCCGGCTCGCCCTGAAGCA